GGGGGGGGTGGCACCGAAGAGAAATGTTTTTCGTGGCAAAAATTTTGCTGACCCAACCATTAAAAAGTAAAAAAACTGATTACCCAACCTAAAATATTAATTAAAAAATAGATACCCACCCCTGGCCAGAAAATTTACAGTTGTCACATATGTCCTTTACCACTTCTGTGACATAAGTTTGATAACAGATTGTGAAGTTTTCTGCAGTCTAAAGTTTCATGTTGTCTGCTGCTGCGCATGCACTTTCTTTGGAGATCCCATCGGAAATTGATCAAGATAGTGATTCTGATTGATTCACATATTGTATTGACGGCCTACTCGGGGTGGTAACTTCTCGCCTAAGTATATATATATATATATATATATAGAGAGAGAGAGAGATAGAGAGATATAGAGATATATAGATAGAGATAGATAGAGATAGATAGAGATAGATAGAGATAGATAGAGATAGATAGAGATAGATATAGATAGATATAGATAGATATAGATAGATATAGATAGATATAGATAGATATAGATAGATATAGATATAGATATAGATATAGATAGATATAGATATAGATAGATATAGATAGATATAGATAGATATAGATAGATATAGATAGTTTATTCATTACATAACCTCCAATGCTGAAGAGAATCTGCGAAAAGCAGACTTTACAGTTACGAATAAATTGTTATATAAGTAGCTACAATTTATTAAAATAGTTAAAAGTCAATATTAAAATTTTAAAACTAAGTTTACGTTAAGAATTATGAAAGTGTCAATATTTGCAGTTAATTTGCCTACATTATTCGTTAACTTGTATCGAATTGAGATCATGTACTTTGAGGAATATGTTGAATATTCCACCTGCTGTTATTGTCAGAAATCTATCAAGTTCCTCTGTGGTAAGAGAGGGGCAGTTTCCACTTAATAGGACTGTATAAATATCCTCTTCTTCTAGGTTGTGGATATAGCACATGCTTTGTTTTGGAAGGCTATCCATTAATTTGTCCCACATTGTGTTACGCTCTAGATTCGTTGCTGAACAGTTCATTACAAAGTGTTCTCCAACGTCAAGCAGACTTTCACCGCATAC